CGACGAACTGATAACCTCCTCCTTTTTTGGAAGTCGGTTAAAAATAGCTGTGTTTTCGTATTCTCCAGCAAAAAATATCCAGTAACAGGTCTATTCTGCACGTTACCGAAGATTTTGTAACCGGAAAATTGTATTACCAAAAAATGTTACCAGTTCTTGTCACCGTGATTCTAGGTACGTTGGTAATGCAGTTAAAATATTCAGCAATTCAGCTATGAAGAATTGTGCAAATTCTGGCATTGCATATTTCACGGGGCAATAATTTGTTACCAGCTTATAAGATAGTAACAAAATTTACCGGTTACAAGAGTATACAGAATGCGAAAAGGGTTTAAAAATTGACAGGAACTTTATTTACCGGTTACAAACTTTTTATTACCAGCGCAGAATAGACCTGTAACTGGAAATTTTTATTACCAAAAAATGTTACCAGTTCTTGTCACCGCGATTCTAGTTACGTTGGTAATGCAGTTAAAATATTCAGCAATTCAGCTATGAAGAATTATGGAAATTCTGGCATTGCATATTTCACGGGGCAATAGTTTGTTACCAGCTAATGAGATGCGAACAAAATTTACCGCTTACAAACAGTGCTGCCAAGTTTTAAATTTGAAAAAGCACTAAAACCCAGGAAAAATCGCGTTTTTCTCGGAAAAAGCCCCAAATTTTTATTAACGTATTTAATGGACTTTGTATGCGTGAAAAATTTTATTGTAGGGATACCGATTCAAATTAATAAAAATCTATGTTTTTTGCTCGACAGTCGAATTTATTCTGTTTTCTATAAATTCAAATATTTTCGTTTAAGCAACGTTAAGATTCTTGTTCTTATTTTCTAGTTTACAGCTATGTCCAGCGTTGCCGTTTCGCTTAGATGCAAGCAAAATTTATTAATTTTTCCTGACAGTTTAAGGGCCGGTTACTCAATGTCTGGTTAACACTAATCTGCGGTTAAACATCGTTATCGACGTCTTCGACTCCATGCATATAACAGGGAGTCGGTAACGTCGATAACGATGTTTAGCCGCAGACTAGTGTTAACCAGACATTGAGTAACCGGCCCTATATGTTAAAATTTTTCCTCGTTTTGCTTCATTTTTTCTACAATTCCTATCAAACGAAGGCAAAAACCAGAAATGAAGGTTCATGAACTATGTGGTAGTTTAAGGGCCGGTTTCTCCATCTCTGGTTAACACTAACTCCCCGGTTAAACATTGTTATCGACGTTCTAACTCCATGCATATAACAGGGAGTCGATAAGGTCGGTAACGATGTTTAACGGGGGATTAGTGTTAACCGGAGATAGAGAAACCGACCCTAAATATACACTGCAGTCTCTTATGATCTTGTGAACTAAAGAAACATAAAGAACTTTTCTTTCCGACCGCTGAAACATAACGAAATTTGATTTTCCGTTTTAGTGTGTCTAATTTGTGTGTATTATCCACTAGCGCATAGTGGGAAAAATAGTTTTGTGTAAAAAAACGCTCTCTACTCTTCAAATCCCACCCGATTTTGATTATTCCCTTATTTCAAAAGAATCGTTAGATAATAATTTTACTGTTAGGAGATGCTATTGTTTTTTTTTTACCTTCCTTATATTAGCTCGGGATGTAACTATGTAATATTGATGCGCCTAAAAGATGCAGCGATTTCTATTCTCAAGTTACATACCTGATGACAGTACGGATGGCAATTATAATAGGGAGGTTTTAGTTTTTTAAACTATAATTTTATTTTTATTTTGAATAGTCTTAAAAAGTATAACAAGTTCAGGCCAAACTAAAGGTCTAAAGGGGGATTCGTGGTCCCAGCAATGGCGAATTACCGAATGTAATTTTGACATGATTAAAAGTGCTGCCACATATATTGTTCGTAAACATATGCTCTCTCGCTTATGATTGTCATTCTAACATAATTTTGTTCCGATTTTTGTAAAGTTTCTTACAAAACTTATGATTGCTACAAATTTTGTCCCCTTTTTGTTTTTACAGATTTGGTGACTTCAAACTAAAAACAAAAGCACCAAAAACCGCACCAAGCACTAAACTCTAAAATTTTCGCGCTTTGAATGAAGAAAAGCACTAAATTTAGTGCGAAAAGCACTTCGCTTAATTTGCGTTTACACGTTCAAAACACTGCTTTCACTTTGTTACACGTATAAGATTTCTTTATTTTTTTCTATATTTAATTAAACAGACAATTTTCTGCAAATAAAAACTCACTTCCCAAAAACTCACTTCCCGATTAGCTGTTGAAATTAACGAGAAATTACCTATCGTCTTGAAAGAAAAATTGGGGATAGGCAATTTGCAAGAGTGTAAAATAGGGTGAGTGTATGCAAATTGAATCAAATTTGGAAATATTTATTGAAATGCATAAAATGTCTGCTTTGGTTTTTTTCACATACAAAAAAAATGGAATTCTTTTATTTAAAGGCCAGAATTTCCTTTGTTTAGGGCCGGTTGTTCAATGTCTGATTAGCACAAATCGGAGGTAGAAGCTCCGGTTAAGCACAACTACTGCTTTATCGATCACATGTTACATGCATGATGTCGAAATCGTCGATAGTGTAGTGGTAGTGATAACCAGACATTGAACAACCGGCCCTTAATCTTAAAGATAGGTGTGAATGGTTAACCAATACTGTATGTAACAATATTATGTGTACTTTTAATTTTTACTGCTAATTTGTGTAGCTGAAACCCCGAAAACTCGTGAAATCTCGTTTTAAGGCCGGTTGCTCAAAGACTGGTTGACACTAATCCCCGGTTAAACATCGTTATCGATGTTACCGACACCGTGTTATATGCATGGAGTCGAAAACGTCGGTAACGATGTTAACCGATGATTAGTGTCAACCAGGCTTTGAGCAACCGGCCCTTAGGGCTGGTTGTTCAATGTCTGATTAACACAAATCGGAGGTAGAAGCTCCGGTTAGATACAACGACTGCTTTATCGATCACATGTTATATGAATGATGTCGAAATCGTCGATAATGATGTTTAACAGACAAGTAGTGATAACCAGACATTGAACAACCGGCCCTAAATGATGAAGCAATTTTTGTATTTTGGAAACTGATTTGGTAGGCGTTTTGGTACCTAAAAATATTTGGAGTGGCCACACTGCCTGTGACATCGATATCGATGTTTGTAAAACGTCGATGTTTTGCGAGAACATCGAGCGTTTATCTTTGTTTCTTAACAGATAATTATCACAAATTATCACTAGTTTCTGCTGGAAAGCGTTTCTTAACCCAAAAAACTAGCAGAAACTAGCAGCTCTCTCTCGTTCTTACGCTCTTTTTTCTTGGCTCTCCTGCTAATTTCTGCTGGTAAAGGCTTTGTTTCTTTTCTTTTCTAGCAGATAGTTATCAGGAAAAAGAAGAATGAGAAAATTGAAAGAATTACGCCCACATAGAGCGAAATAATGAAAAAGTAAAGAAACGCAAAACTAGCAAGTAGCCAGCTGATCTCTGTATTTGACTATTGAAAATATTTGGCGCGAATTTTTGTTTATCCATTTTGAAAGCTGCTAGTTTCTGCTAGTAAAAATTTTACTAGCAGGAGAGCAAAAAAAAGAAGAGCGTAAGAACGAGAGAGAGCTGCTAGTTTCTGCTGGTTTTTTGGATTAGGAAACGTTTTCCAGCAGAAATTAGTGATAATTTGTGATAATTATCTGTTAAGAAACAAAGCTAAAATTTTTACTAGCAGAAACTAGCAGCTGTCAAAATAGATAAACAAAAATTCGCGCCAAATATTTTCAATAGTGAAATACACCGAGAATTATCTGTTAAGAAACAAAGCTAAAATTTTTACTAGCAGAAACTAGCAGCTGTGCAAAATGGATAAACAAATAGTCAAATACACCGATCAGCTGATTACTTGCCAGTTTCTGCTAGTTTTGCGTTTCTTTACTTTTTCGTTATTTCGCTCTCTGTGATCTAAATTCTTCCAATTTTCTCATTCTTCTTCCTGATAATTATCTGCTAGAAAAGAAAAGAAACCAAGCCTTTGTGTGCAAGAATGATAGAA